ACTACCTGGTCGTCACCAGTGAAGTGCGATCTGTGAGACCCAATGGGGTCAGAGCCCGGGCAACCTGACGTCAGGAAAGTTTTCGACCGCAGTGGAAGAAGTCAGTAATGAAAACAGAACTCCGGCTCCGGAAGAACTCAGTTCCAGGCCGGGAGTTCAGTTTTCCCCAAGCAGAGAGGCAGCTTCAGCCAGACACAGCAGCCCCGCAGGAAACAGCAAGTCTTAGCCGGCAGCGGCAGCGGAGGAGGGAATAAACCGCAGAGCCTCTCGTGTAAACTCAGAAGCCTCATGCCCCAAAGGGAAACGGATCACCAGAGGGTCCACTTCAACCAGTAAAGGTCTTAGTGGGGTGGATTCCCTCCCCCCACCGGGCGTCTGGAGTGTGCCCGACGATCACGGTCACAAACCCAGCAATAGCCCGAAGGGAGTTGGCGAGCCGGGGTCAGGGGATCCTTACCACGCCAGATCAGTGGTGAGTGCAGGCAGCCGGAGTCTGAAAAGAGCGGACCAGGGCGGAGTGTCTCGGTGGAGCGGGGGACGGGGCTCTTGTTGGAAAGAGCTCACCCATATCCGAGTCACGGCACCAGAATGAAAGAATTCCCCACGCAAAGACACTTTGCCGGGAGAATTCCAATTTTATTGCAAAAAGCTGTGTGCTTATATAGAACTAAGGGGGAGATGGTAGGGCTTAGATAAATGGCAGGCAACCCGTTTATTGGCAAGTTCTTTCAGATATCAGCTCCGGAGCCCAGGAATTAGTTCTCATTGGGGCTAAGGTTCCCCACCAGCGAGATTTGAAATTGGCGCCGGCGGGAGAGTTCACACGGGCGGGAACTTTTCACGCCACTGCAGAAAAGAAGAAGGTAGGAAGAAGAGGTGCTTAGGCGCCATGTTGGGGTTTTTTTCCTGGGGTATGGCTGCCGTTTATACTTTTCCCAACACCTTTATTTTATTTATTTATTTTTATGTGGTGCTGAGGATCGAATCCAGGGCTTTGCACATGTTAGGCAAGTGCTCTACCGCTGAGCCACAACCCCAGCCCCTAATTTTAATTTTTGATGTAAAACAACACAAAATTTTATATCAGTTTAGTGGAAACTTTAAACAAAATAAATTTAATTATTAAAAATGTTAAATAGGGCTGGGGATGTGGCTCAAGCGGTAGCGCGCTCGCTTGGCATGCTTGGGGCCGGGTTCGATCCTCAGCACCACATACAAACAATGATGTTGTGTCCGCCAAAAACTGAAAAATAAATATTAAAATTCTCTCTCTCTCTCTCTCTCTCTAAAAAAAAAAAGTTAAATAAAGCATAGCAATACTTAGAGATCTTACATCTATATATGTGTACATAGACACACACATAATATACACTTATGTATATGTATATTATGTATATTAAACTTAAATATACTAGTTTAATAATCAATTCAGGAAAAAAATAATAATCAATTCAGAGGGCTGAGGGCATAGCTCAGTGGTAGATTGTATGCTAACATTAAAGGTCCAGGGTTCAACTCCCAGCAATGCAAAAAGATAAAAATACATAATAAAAATGAATAAAAATAAAAATCAAGGCAGAAGCATAAGGGATTCTATACACACTTCTAAAATTACCCTGTCTACTTTGATTAACTGTAAAATTAATTTGGAAATCTGTCAAGATAGATGAAAAAAATAGGAAAAGTTTCTAATTCATTAACATAAATAATCACAATTTTACTGCAAAAAGCCTCCTAACCAAAACAAAAAAGGCATTTCACAACTTATGAGAAAAGGTGAATGGTGGTCAGGAAAATTGTGACCCTTAAAAAAAAAAATCCAAAAACAGAAATGATGGTGGGATGTGATGGAGGACATTATTATTCAAAGTACATGTATAAAGACATGAATTGGTGTGAATATACTTTATATACAACCAGAGATATGAAAACTTGTGCTCTATATGTGGAATAAGAATTATAATTCATTCCACTGTCATATATAAATTTTAAAAATTATTTTGGGCTGGGGATGTGGCTTAAGCAGTAGCGCGCTCTCCTGGCATGCGTGCGGCCCGGGTTTGATCCTCAGCACCACATACAAACAAAGATGTTGTGTCCTCCAAAAACTAAAAAATAAATTTTAAAAAAAATTTCTCTCTCTCTCTTAAAAATTTTTTTTTTAAAAAACAGAATAAGGCCAAAGTGTTAAGGAATTGAAAGTAATTCTCCATGTTAGAAAAGAAACATGAAACATTTAGAGTTGGGGGCCACAGTCATAGACTTCAGGGGTGTGAGGATTGAGGAGAACAAGGGAGGCAGGAAGAGCAGTGGAATGTATACATAAAATATATAAAATATAGTATAAACTATAGTATGCTGATTTTTAAAACCACTCTTTTAGCCAGGCATGGCAGCTCACATCGGTAATCCTAGCGACTTGGGAAGATTAGGCAGGAGGACTGCAAGTTCAAGACCATCCTGGGCAACCCCCCCCCCAATATTTTCATATTTAGTAAAATAATAAATCATATTCATAAAATCAAGGATAAAGAATATAATGTATTATTAGCTTTTCATCATTTACAAGTAATAGTTTTGTTGTTTTTAGAATACATAACCGTGGAGTATAATTTGACATATTATACATATATGGAGTGCAACCCACTACAATTTTGATCCCAATCTTGTGTTTGAACATGATATGGAATTACACAGGTCATGTATTCATATATGAGCATAGGAAAGTTGTATCTGATTCATTCTACTGTCTTTCCTATTCCTACCCACCTCTTCCCTTCATTCCCTGTTTTCTAACCCAAAGACTTCTATTCTTCCCTCCCTGTCCCCCTTAATGTGTATTAGTATCCACATATCAGACAGAACATTTGGCCTGGTTTGGGGGATTGGCTTATTTCACTTAGCATGATAGTCTTCAGTTCCATCCATTTACTAGTAAATGCCATAATTTCATTCTTCTTTATGACTAATTTCTACTGTGTATATGTACCACATTTTCTTTATTGATTCATCTGTTGAAGGGTTTCTAGGATAGTTCCATAGCTTAGTTATTGTGAATTGAGCTGCTATAAACATTAATGTGGCTGCGTCACTATAGTATGCTGATTTTTAAGTCCTTTGGGTGTATGCAGAGGATTGGGATAAATGGGTCATGTGCTGATTCCATTCCAAGTGTTTTGACAGCTGGGCACTTAGTAAGGCCCTCAGCAACTTAATGAGACCCTATTAAAAAATAAAAAGGGCTGGGAATGTTGCTTATAGTAAAGTACCCCTGGATTCAATCCCCAATACCAAAAAGAAAAAAAAAATCACTGTCTTAGATCTGCACATGTGGCTACTGAGCACTTGAAAAACAGCTAATCTGAAATGAAATTCAGTATGAAAGAATGTAAACCATCTCATTAATAATTTTATTTTAGTGACATTGATTTGATAATATTTTGAACTATGTTAACATTTTGGGTTAAATTAAACATATTACTAACACTAATTTCACCTCTAATTTCTCTAAAGTGTCTGCTAGAGCCAAGCATGGTGGTGCAGGCCTGTAATTCTTGTGATTTGTGATTTGGGAGGCCAAGGCAGGAGAAACGCAAGTTCAAGGCCAGCCTCAGTAACTTAGCAAGACCTTCATCAATTTATTGAGATCCTGTCTCAAAATAAAGAATAAAAAGTACTGCAGACATAATTCAGTGGTAAAGCATCCCTGGATTCAATCCCCAGTACATTCAATCAATCAATCAATCAATCACTGTCTGCTAGAAAGTTTTTAACTAAGCCAGGAGCAATAAGCACCTATTGTTTCAGCTGCTTGGGAGACTGAGGCAAGAAAACTGATATGGCTCACATTTTATTTCTATTGAAAAGTGATACTCTGGAAAGAAATGGTCTCTAGGGAGGTAAAAACATGGGAAGCACGACAGACATGTTAAAGGGACAGGCAGACACCCCTGATGGGTACTTTCAGTTGCTGACAGTTAGACACATCAGAGATTCAGGTGTGACAAGTTCTCATTCATATACAAGAGTGTATGTAGTACAGGTGACACTAGTGGGTGCGAGACTGACATACAAGAACACTTGGCTTTATAAAAATGTTAAAAAAGAGGGGCTGGGGCTCAGCGGCAGTGTGCTCACCTAGAGCGTGTGAGGCCCTGGGTTGGATCCTCAGCACCACATAAAAATAAATAAATAAAAGTATTTAAAAAAATAAAATAAAAACTGGTTCAATTAGCAATAACAAATCCCTAATCCACTGTAATTGGTTGCCCTTACCACAGGCATTCCTCTAAGACAACTGGAAAAGAATGGGATTTTTAAAAAAGAGTTGGGGCGCTATGTTATTGTAAACACGATATAAAAAAGAATTTAATAAACCTGAACCCGCCGGCCATCTCCTTCCTCACGGGGTTCTGCAAAATAACACCTGCCAAAAAATAAAAGGGTGTTTTTAGCCGGTGGGCAGGGGGAAAAAAATCCCCGTCTTTAGCTTTGATCTCGAGGCCCTGTGTGTCAAAAGATTAGAAAATTACATGGATCAGCCCCAGCCAGATGTCCCGGGAGTCCGGCGGACTGAGGGGCTGGCGGCAGCCGGAGGTTTACCATTTGGGTTCTGAGCCCAAATCGGCGGTGGTAGTTCCCGATTTCCGAGCTGCGCAAGTTGGAGTCAACGAGCCTCCACCGCGGGGTCCCCCGAAGATCCTTCATCCGGAAGCCTCTGGCTGCAACATCCCAAAGCTGTGGAACCACAGTGAGCTAGCCGCCCTGACGGCCTCTGCCTACCTAGCGCCGCCTGGTGGCTTAACAGAACGGCGGGCTTCAGACACTGGCCTAGCCGCCAGCTGTTAATCCGCAGGAAGTTGGTTTCCAGGTAACGCAAAGGCGGAAGTGACGATTCAATTATTCTCAAATAGACAGAACTCTTAGCCAATGGGTGCTTTTAAGAAGGAAAGGTTCTTCCACATTGGCCAATAAGAAGCGCTTGTTGCTACGAACTAGAACAAACGCTTTCTCCCTAATTCGCTTTTATCAATGTCGCACCGATAAATTTCAATTACTCTTGGTGCTGCTTACTATCTTCTCGGAGATTTGCACCAGGCCCTGGAGGCCCTCCGGCCTAGTCCAAAAGCAACGACGCCGTGAACATTGAGACCCGATCTGGCACACCACAGGTCTGGCTATCAGTGGGATAATCAATAGTAAACAATAAAATTAATGGATAGGAGAGACATTAATGCATGAAACAAATACTTTAGGAAGAACCCTTTTGCAAAACTGAACCCAGGAGCAGTTAGCACGTTTCTAACCAGTAATACCGGAAGAGAGGGCGGGAAGACAGCAAATGAACTTGGATTTCATTCAATTGTCAGTAAAGTCAGTTTGCAGGCTTTTAAAGTACCACACCGTCGACCTCAGTTCCAGTAGCGCTGTTGCGCTTAGAGGCAGCTGCCTGACTTAACCAACCCCCCGCCCCCACCCGCCCCAGGACACACACACACACACACACCCAGCTGCAGGGAATTGGCTTGTTTCCCTCTCCCTTTTTGTGGGCGGCCCTTTCTGTCTAAAATTTCTATGAAATGAGAATACACTGGACTTTCAGAATTCTCCTCAGCCTTCACTTGTCATTTGCACTGCATCCTAACAAACTCCTTATATCTATCTTCTAGTTCAACATATTCATTGTAAGCTGTGGTTAATATTCCATCTAGCCCACTTACTACATTTTATTTCAGTTATTTCAGTTATTTCAGTTATTTCATTTTTAATTCCCACATCTCTCTGTGCAGGGAAATTAGACGCATTCTGATATTCTGCCCCGTTTGCTTTATTAAAAGCCTTATTTCTTGATCTTTTAAGTACTCAACTTTTTACTATGAACTACCCTGAATTTTGCAAAAGTAATCCAGATAATTTATTTGTTCATTTTCCCCCTTTATTTTCAGTACTAGGAATTGAACCATGGCCTGGCACTTACTAGTCAAGCACCTCACCACTGAGCTACATACCCAACCTCAGCATAAAGAATTTGTGTTAACATCTTCCCCCAATGTTAACAGCTTACATAACCATAGCATTATCAAAAGAAAAAAAAAAGTAACATTCGTGCAATACTAGGAGATCTTCTCTTATTAGGATATTTATGCCTAGCTTATTTATTTATTTATGATCTTTTTAAACTGTTCTACCTTCATGGTCAAGAATCCTTTTTTTTTTCTCTCTCTCTCTTTCCTGCGTTTTGTTTCTCTCATTTATTTTTCTTCCCACGTAGTGGGAGAGACTTTGAATCCCTTTTTGTTTTTTATATATTAAATGTCTAATGTTAATATGTCTATACTTGAATCTTTTTATTAAAATTTTCTTGCAATATCTTTTTTAAAAAGCCCTTGTATTTTCAAACTGTATGTCTGCTTTAGTTGCATCTTCTAAACATCATGGAGCTGAAAAACAATTTTTTCCAATCTTCGAGTATTTCTCTTTCCACCCAATAATTCAACACATTCTTCTGTTGAAATAGTGTAACACTTTCTTTAAAAAAATAGCTTTTTGAATAATTATTCTGTGCAAGTTTGTGTATAATATTTTACATCAATTATTACAATGGATTATACCATTTAATCTTTAAAATATATATAAGCAGAATTACTCATTTTAAAACATGGAAACTAAGATCAGAAAAAGCACTGGAAGATTTTGCTCAATATAACAAAGCAATTGAAGAGCAAGGATTTATACACACACAGGCTTACTCCAGAATACACAAGTTAAGTTAAGTTTGTATGATATATTGCTACCTTTGGACACATTAATTTTTTAATTTAATAATTTATGCTTTCTTTTTCTTACCTCTTTCAGAGTTTAGTGCTCCATCTATTTAATTTTGATTGTTTGTCTTTTCAAGTTCTCAGCTTGAATTAAAATTACATATACAGTCCTTGAATGGATACATTGAGAAGTGTATTAATGAGGAATTTCATCACTGCTGAACACCATAAAGTGTTTTTACACAAACTAAGATACATATGACTAGACAGTGAATGTTATGTTGTCTTAATTTTACTTAAAATTTTTTTTTATTCTTTCAAAAAAAATTTGTAAATAATTATTTTGTTTTTGTACTGTGGATTGAACCAGGGGCTCTTAACCACTGAGCCACATCCCCAGCCCTTTTTATATTTTGTTTAGAGACAGGGTCTCACTAAGTTGCTTAGGGCCTCACTAAGTTGCTAAGACTGGCTTTGAACTTGTGATCCTCCTGCCTCAGCCTCACAAGCTACTGGGATTTAGGCATGTGCCACCACACCCAGCTGTAAATAATATTTAACTAGAATATTTAACTAGACTATTTAAAGATGAAATGCTAACCCTGGATTTGCTTTAAAATATTTTAGGAGTCAGGCATGGCACTGCACACCTGTAATCCCAGTAACTCTAGAGACTGAGGCAGGAGTATTGCAAGTTCAAGGCCAGCCCTGGCAACTTAATGACACTTGTCTCAAAAAATAAAAAGGGCTGGGGATGTAGCTCAGTGTTAAGCACCCCTAGGTTCAATCCCTAGAACAAAAAACAACGTCTAGGGGCTGGGACTGGGGCTCAGAGGTAGAGTGCTTGCCTAGCATGTGTGAGGCACTGGGTTCGATTCTCAGCACTACATATAAAATAATAAAATAAAGGTCATCAACAACTAAAAACATATTAAAAATAAATAAATAAAGGTATTGTGTCCATCTACAACTAAAAAAATTAACTTAAAAAAACAATGTCCATGTTTCAGAGAGATTTAGATGATGTGTGCCTTAGTATAAAACAGGCAGAAAACCAAAGTATTTCAGCAACTTTCATTCCCTGAGGCGTCCATGGCAGAGAACATAAGGTGATCTGAATTCTTACTCTCCCTCACCCTCTTGACACAAGTCAACACACTTCACATCATACATCTCTTTCCTACTCCCACCACCTCCTAGAGCTTCTCTGGAATAAACTCCAGAGCTCTTAGGTGACTTACATGAACATTTCACAGCCCACATCATCTAATCATGGATTCCTTCTCTGCATTGTTCTGGTGTCTTCTCCACATGCAGGGACATTGCTGTTTTCTCCCAGCATCTGATTTAACCCATGGTGAGGGAGGGAAAGCAGGAATCTCAATGGGAATGTGGGATCTTTTCAGGATGACTTCCCAGGCCCTCTGCAACTTCATGATGCTTATCTTGGCTCCCTTTCATACCAGTTTAAATCACGTAAGCTTCTTGGCACTTCTTTTTGTCTGTTTATGTAACCGATGATATAGGGCAAAAAAGAAAAATAATACCTTCTTTGATCTTCTTTCCTTTCCTCTAAAGTAAGTATATCCCAATACCACACAAATTTTTTAAAGAGAAGTGCGTTTTTTTTTCTTTATGTTTCTGTTTACACATTTTTTTCTAATTTTTAGGTACTTTTTTTCTTTTCTTTTTTTTTTTCTTTTTTGTACTAGGGGCACTTAACCACTGAGCCACATCCTCAGCCCTTTTTTTGTATTCTATATAGAGACAGGTCTCGCTGAGTTTCTCAGGGCCTTGCTAAGGCTTGCTTTAAGCTTGCAATCCTCCTGCCTCAGCCACCAAACCACTGGGATTACAGGAATGGACCACAGCACCCAGCTTAATTTAGGTACTATTTACACATAGTGAAATACACGAATCTCAAGTATACCAATTGATGACTTTGGATAAAGGTATGTCCCCGTGTAACTCACAGACTAATCATCATATATAGATTATTTCCATCACCTCAGAAAGTTTTCTCATGGTGTTCCCAGTTGATCCCCCAATAGCCACTGATATTGCTTCCCCCAATAGCCACTTATTTGCTGCCACTATGGATAATACAATATAATCAGTTCTAGACCTTCACATAAACAGAAACATATATGATGCACTCTATTGCGGCTGATTTCTTTTGCTCAGCATAATGCTTTGGGAATTTATTCATGTCATTATATATATATTAGTAATTTGTTCCTTTTTTTAATTGCTGAGTAGTTTTCTATTATGTGGTCATATCACAATTTGCTTACCCATTCACCAGCTAACTGTTATTTGTGGCTATTATTAATAAAACTGCTATAAACTGTCCCATACAGATTTTTAAATTTTTATTAGTTGTTGATGAATTTTTAAATTTGATTTATTTATTGGTACGTGGTGCTGAGAATCGAACCCAGTGCCTCACACATGCTCGGCAAGCACTCTACCACTGAGCCACAATCCCAGCCCCCATACAGATTTTTGTATGGACATATTTCATTTCTTCTGGGTAGATACCTAGCAGCAGGGTTTCTGGGTCAATGATAAGTGTGTGCTTAATTTTATAAGAAACTATGAACTTGTTTTTGAAAGCAATTACACATTTTACACTTCTAGTAGCAATGCTTAGGCAGCTACTTTGAGGATTAAAAAGAGAAACTGGAATAACATGTCTTGATCAGGGCCAGCATGCCAATATCTGCTGTGTTAATCTCCTGGCCCCAGTTCACAAAATGGGGAATGTAGGGTAATATTTCCAGAGAGCAAGTGGGCTCTAGTTCACCCATGATTTGAGCAATTACTCCTGTTCTTGAGGAAGGGTAGAGTCCTTCAATGGAAGTGCTGAGATAGAAGAAGCAGTAAGAACTTGCCTGGCTCACCAAGGCTTCCCAGTATTCTAGATGGACGGTGGAAGAGGGTGCATCATATTCAGCTGGTGACACTAATTTTGGCTTATCATTAGCTGACATGCCCTCCTCTGGTATGTCTTTTTATTTCTCTCTACCTTTATAGAGGCCCTAAAACACAGAGTTTCCCTCCCTCCAAAATTTATTGAATACTAGGCTGGGGTTGTGGCTCAGTGAAAGAATGCTTACCTAGCATACGTGACGCACTGGGTTCAATCCTCAGCACCACATAAAAATAAAAGTATTGTGTCAACCTAAAACTAAAAATATTAAAAAAAATTTACTGCACACTTACTGTCATGAGCCATCTGTGGGCTGTGTGTGGGCTATGTTGCACGTAGTAGCCTAATGAGGGGATAAGTCAGGCGTTGAGAACCTCCCATGGCACCCCCACAGGTATTGATCCCCTGGTGCAGGTGAACTTCCCCCTCAAGCTCGGCTAGAGATCTCCACACAGCACCTGAGATGGATGTGACCTGCCAAGATGCCAATGGACCTGCTGACTGCAAGACACCAGGAAGCAAGACTCCACCCTTGAAACCTTATCCTTGCCTTTGATGTCCCCTGACATAAATAAAGCAAGTGGGGGCTCCATTTTGCCAGAGTATAGAAGTTCCATCCGTGTGATCAACCCGTCTTGCTCCCTCTTTTGAAACTATTTTCTGTGTCCTGTGGTTTTTTCATCATTCTATTTTTCTTAGCTTTTATTTCTCAGGCTGCCCATTCCACCCAGGGGAACCCCATGTCCATCGCCTGTACCTCACATGGACATGGTTCCCACAACTTGTCCCCCCTGTTAGGAAGGGGAAACTCTCAGGCCCAGTGGTTCTACCAAGAGGTTTCTGTTCAGCGTTTCCAAACTCTACTAGGAACATCTGGAGGGAGTTTCTAGAGGTGTTGTCTCCACTGAAGCCATAATTTCCACGGGGTGGCGGGGGGCTTCCTTCTGCAGCCTTCATTCCTAGGGAGCATTGTTCCTGCAAGCAGGAGAGGACTTGCGCCAGCAGCCCAGATTACAGCCTGGGCCTTGATCTCTCTATGTCTAAGCAAAAGTCCTATCCACAAGCGAACATTTAACGTGATAAACATTTATTAAGCACCTACTGTGTATAAGGCACAGGGTAACCAGTCCTGACTTCCTCCCTGGGACTAGCTACACAGATAGATCAAGTCACAGGGCAGCAAATGCTGCCTTTTCTGTGAAGCTTTTCTGGACACATCCCATCTTGACATATAAATCCACAATTCTGAAAAGAATCTGTGAGTTTCGTGAATCTCAGTTGTGGGGAGCCACCCGTCGCCCCTGGGCTGAACTTGCTTCCCCTGCCTGGAGCGATGGGGGTACCAGTTTGGCATGCATGCAAAAAGTGTACAGGGCAAGTGGCCTTTACCCTCACTCGCAAGGGAGCCTGCTTTAAGCCCTACCTGGGTGTTACCTAATGGGGATGGGTAACCCCCTGAAACCTGATCCCCTTGCCTTATTTGGGTGGAACTTTCTCGAATGTCTTTTCTCCAATAAATAGAAGGTTTGGATGTGCCTTTTCTTGCTCCTTCCAGCGCTGGAGCTGACTCTTGGGGTCACCGAGCCGAGTGGTCCTGTCTTAGAAATTTATATTTGTGTGCTGTGTGGTTTCTTTGCTGTTTTCTTAGTTATTGATATAGCCAGCTTCTTTTAACCCAGTCATATCACCAGTTGGGTCAGCTGGTGATATCAATATCTCTCTTTCTCTTCCTCTCTCTTACCATTAGATTAATAAATATTTTTAAATATCTTAAAATCTGAAAACCCAACACTAGCAATATTATGGGAAGGCAAATGGTCTCACATGCTGTGAAAAACACAAGTGGGGGGCCTGGGGTTATGGCTCAGTGTTAGAGTGCTTGCCTAACATGCATGAGGCACTGGGTTTGATCCTCAGCATCGCATAAATGTAAAATAAAGATATTGTTTCCACCTAAAACTTAAGAATAAATATTTTTAAAAAACAAAAAACATAAGTAGGTGTCTGACTGCAGTGATGAACCCCTATAATTCCAGCAACTCAGGAAGCAAAGGTAGGAGGTTTGCAAGTTCAAGGCCGGCCTCAGCAACTTAGTAAGAATTTGCCTCAAAATATAAAATAAAGGGGCTGGGGATGTAGCTCAAGTGGGAAAGCACCCCTGGGTTCAATGTCTGATACAAAAAAAAAAAAAAAGAATATATAATAGTAAAGCGGGTTTATATATACTAACAAAGATGATTTTAATAATTAAAATTATAGTTTTAATCAGGTTTGATAACACACAATAAAAAAAAAGTCATGAAGGAAGAAGTTTGTTATACTCACAGGTCCTTAAGGCAAGTGACACAGCAAGTCCTATATAGCCACCCAGGGAAGCACCAGCATCAGGCAGGAACAGAGAGAATGAGAGGGAAAAGTGGGCAAGAGGCTTCACTGAAGTTTCCACGGGACCAAATGAGTGAGGCAGGGAAAGCAGAATTAAGATTGGCTGATTCAAATAATTTCAGTGGGCTCTAGGGCAGAGGGCTGTTCTTAGTTGTCTGGTACCTGGTCCTGGGCTGGTTAGGGCAGGTGGATAGTGACCCTGGGTGAGAACCCTGCATAGTTAGGGTTATGGGCTCTGGATGGATTGGTTTGCATATGAAATGTATGCTTGAGGTGAGTTGTTTACTGTCTCCCAATGACCAGTCCAGGGAGGGGCAGTCTCTTCAGTGTCAGCATGGTCTCAGGATATCAAAACATCTCCAGACAAAGTGGCTCAAACCTGTAATCCCTGTGACTGGGAAGCTGAAGGAAAAGAATCACAAGTTGGAGGACAGCCTCAGCAATTTAATGAGGCCTTCAACAACTTAATGAGACTCTATCTCTAAAAAAAAAAAAAAAAAAAGAGCTAGGGATGTGCCACAACCCACCAGCATCAACAAAGGATTCTCGAGTAGGGGTGACTAGAGATGGAGAAAACCACAGAGACAAAGAAAATAGAGACATTATCAAGTGAAGCTGGGGCCAGGTGGGACATTGCACTCTGATGAAGGAACAGTGACCCAGAACTAGCTCCAAAAGCTTATTATATAGGGTCTCAAAATCAGGAACTTAAGCTATAGGGGCATTGTAAATTATTTAAGGCTTGTGAGTTGTCAGAAGCTTCTTTATGCACTAAAATGTTACAGAGCTAGAAACTTTTTTTTTTTTTTTTGCAGCTACCCTACAGTTGCAGTGCTAAGAACAGCCTGCCATTATCCTGCTGTACCCAGGCCACCCAATGTCCTGAGACATTGTCCTGAGCTGAGAGTCAAAGCTGAAAACATGGGTGGGGATGTGGCTCAAGCGGTAGTGCGCTCGCCTCGCATGTGTTCGGCCCGGGTTCGATCCTCAGCACCATATACAAACAAAGATGTTGTGTCTGCTGATAACTAAAAAATAAATACTAAAATTCTCTCTCTCTCTTTTAAAAAAAAAAAAAAAAAAGCTGAAAACATCCTGGCCTTTGGCAAGGAGTGTTTCCTGCCTTTTTGGCCACAGCATGGGATCAGCTGAGATGGAGGCTCATCCACTCTACACAGGACGTGGCTCCCTGATAAAGTGCCCTGTATTAAATCCCTAGTACCACAACAAAAACAAACAAAAAATATATGTGAACCTACATGTGGATTTAGAAGCACATGCAAGAGCTGGGTGTAGTAAAGTTCTCGCCCCGTGGGTTCGATCCTCAACCCAACATAAAGATAAAATAAAGATATTGTGTCCACCTAAAACTAAAAATAAATATTAAAAAAAAAAGAGAGAGAGAGAGAGACATGAAAAAAATGTTGGGAAAGGGGCTGGGGTTGTAGCCCAGTGATAGAGTGCTTGCCTAGCACATGTGAGGCACTGAGTTCGATCCTCAGAGAAAGAAAGGAAGGAAGGAAGGAAGGAAGAAAGGTATTGTGTACACTTACAACTAAAAAAAAATTTAAAAAAATGTTGGGAAAGAGCCATCAAATTGCATCAAATTGTTCATAATGGTAACTTTTGAGAAATGGAGGACCTTCATGTTCAACTTTCTCTTATTAAACAAAAGTTGAGAATTTTGTTTCTAGATTTTTAAAAATACTTCTTATTACCACATGTTCACTAATGTTCACAATAAATACTCTGAAAGATGTTGTAGCTCAGTGGTAGAGCGCTTGCCTAGCACGGGTGAGGCTCTGGGTTTGAGCTTTGGCACCACATAAAAATAAATAAAATAAAAGTATTGTGTCCATCTACAACTGAAAAAAAAAATTAAAAAAAAAGAAAAGGCTGTCAAATATCCCTGACATTGTCTATCGTGTTGATTTCTGAGCTGAATTGCATCATTATTGCTACTTTAAATACCACTATAGTTTTTCTCCTGTGCCTTTGCACTTGCTTCTATGTAAAAAAAGAAAAACAATCTAAAATTAATATTTTTTTAAAATAGGGATAGCAATGGGTGTAAGAGTTTACTAAATATTCCTGTATTTTGCAGAGGGGATTTTTTTTGGGGGGGGGGCAGGGTGTGGGTAACTGGGGATTGAATCAGCCATTTTTATTTTTTACTTCTTATTTTGAGACAGGGTCTTTCTAAGTTGCTGGGGCTGGCTTCGAACTTACGATCCTCCTGCCTCTGTAATGCTGGGATTATAGACATGGGCCTCCATACGTGGCACAAAGGGGATATTTTCGATACTCATAAAATTTCATGTGTGTATGTTCTAAATACATCAGGAACTTTAAATCGTCTCTAAATTCTAAAAAAGAATTGGTAATATTATTTTCCTTCAGGGACTTTGTTGCTTTCTTTTTAAAGATCTTGCATATTTCTTCTTAGGTTCAAGGTAATGCGCGCGCACACACACACACACACACATACACACATTTGCCTTGTTTTAAAAGTAACGATGCATACAGTTAAAAAAATAGTATAGAAGTGTTTCATTCCTCTGCATCCTTAGTTATATTCTCCAAAAATTTAACTACTTTTTAATCCTTTTATCTACTACCAGAAGTGGTAGTTTATTCCAAAACTCTAATTGTATTTGATATTTTAGTTGCTTTTGTGAATAGAATCTCATCCACCCATTTTATTCCCTAATGACTTAAAATATTTTTTTTTTGGGTAAATTTAGTATCACTTTTCTGAAGTCCTTTAGGTTCAAATAACTTTTGTTTCCAAAAACTTTTATTTTTAAAATATATTACACATAGGAATGAATACATGCATATGTTTGTAAATGCAAAAGTCAACATAGTGACACGTTTCCTTCTTCCCATTTCTTATGCCTGGACATAGCCTCTATTAAACATTTTTAGTATGTCCCTTCTCCTTACACAAAGAAAAATTTATTAATATTTTTTAGTTGTAGATGGACACAATACCTTTTATTTATTTTTATGTGGCTGAAGATCGAACCCAGAGCTTCACATGTGCAAGCCAAATGAGCTCCCCTGAGCCACAACCCCAGCCCAGAGAGATTTATTTTTGCTCAGTTTCAGAGGTTTGTTCATAGTTGGCATTTTCAGCAAATGCCATAATTTCATGTTTCTTTATGGCTGAGTAATATTCCATTGTGTATATGTACATTTCCTTTCTTTTTCAAAAAATATTATTAGTTGTAGATGGACACAATACCTTTATTTAGTTTTTTATGTGGTGCTGAGAATCAAACCCAGTGCCTCACACATGCTATGTAAGTGCTCTACCACTGAGCCACAACCCCAGCCCCATATATACATTTTCTTTATCCACTCATCTGTTGAAGGGCACTTGGATTGGTTCCCTAGCTGTGCTACTATGAATTGAGCTGCTATAACATTGATGTGGCTGTGTCACTACAGTATGCTGATTCTAAGTCCTTTGGGTATATGCCATGGTGTGTAGGACAACTGGGTCAAATGGTGGTTCTACTGCAAGTTTTCTGAGAATCTCCATACTGCTTTCCAGAGTGGTTGCACCAATTTGCAATCCCACCAGCAATGTATAAGAGCATATTTTCATAATAGAGTCTGGTTGTGTTATCTTTTGTGCTCTAACAAGTTTTTGTTGTTGTTGTTTGTTTTTGAGGTGCCAGGGATTGAACACAGGTCCTCACAGCACTTGCTAGAAAAGCACCCTCCCACTGAGCTATACCCAGCCCTCTAAAAAGTTTTAACATCAGAATTACGACAAATGAATAATAATAAATAATTTAATATTTCGACCTGTCATGGAAGAGTTCCTAAAATATTTCATAGATCTCACCTGTAAAAATATATTGTTTTGGGCCATTTTTAGCATAGCTATTTGACTTTTAAAAATTTTGGGGGGGCTGGGGATGTGGCTCAAGCAGTAGCGCGATAGCCTGGCATGCGCGGGGCGCTGGGTTCGATCCTCAGCACCACATAAAAATAAAATAAAGATGTTGTGTCCACCGAAAACTAAAAAAATAAATATTAAAAATTCTCTCTCTCTTTAAAAAATGTTTTTAAAATTATTTGCTCTAATTTAAAAAGTGTTCCTTTTAGAGGAAAGTCTATTCAAAGTTCACCTCTTCTCCAGTCAATTCTGATGTCAAGTCAATTTATTAAAATCACACTTTGTTCAGATTTTCCAGTATTTTACAAATACACTGAAATTTAAGTTTTTTATTTAACTGGATACAAAACATACATCATAAAGTGTTTAGTGGTTTCCAGCATATTCACAAATTTGTGACATCTAGAACAGTAATTCCACATTTTCATCACTCAACAAGAAAAGGGTCCTTTTCAGTTTAAACATATCATCATTTCAGTTTTTCATTCTCAATACCATCTATTTTCATCTTTATTTCATCACTGGAATCACTAAAATTTGTCTCCCTTTCTCTTTTCCAAAAAATAATTAAAATTTTTGCTTTTGATAATTTTTATTTCTTTTTATAATCCCTTCCTCCTCTCAAAATACACTTTTGCCTATTTTAGGTTCTTGGATTCCATTGTAATTTTATTTGTTAATAATCTTTATAGCACTTTGATATACACATGTACATTAAGTTAAAAATCTTCGATACAGCTTTTATTGCCACAGGTTTTTCAACAGTGTTGTCAGTTTCATTTGCATCTGAATAACATATACAAAGTGATATATTTCCTTAACCCATGTTAATTAAGAGGAGATATTGAACTAACACTCAGATATTTGATGGTCATCTACTTTTACTCTTTTCCTTATTCTGTGCAAAGAATGTGATCTGTATGCTTTCTGCTTTTTTGGAACCAATTAGGAAAAATATCAACTCTTCTTGCTATTGTGACAGTTGTGATTTTAAACTGCCCATCGCTATAACCAAGGCATTCTTCCTACAGCATGAAGGATGAAGTCTGAATAAAGACTATCCACATAAATCTTTTTTCCCTTTTAAAATTCCACACTGACCAAGGAGTAGTAGGGGAAAGGTGTTCTTTCCCATAGTCATTATAATTATTTTTCTTCTTCCTTTATGAATTCTTTGACAAAGTTAAACAATATGATTAAAGTCCTTCCCACAAATCATAATGAAGATAATTATGAGAATGAGTAGATCAATGATAATAGAGAAAAACATTTATTAAACATATACTAGTTGGTAGGAATAACATTTATTAAACATATACTAGTTGGTAGGAATAGATCTAAGTACCTTGTACCAATTCACTGAGTCCTCATGGCCAAACCAATACATACACGATTGTATATATTTATATGTAAGAAATAAAACACGACTAACATGTATAAGAAAAAATGTGTTAAGTATCTGGAAGAATAAACACTTTTGTAAACAGTGATTACTTTTCCAATATGGCTTTAGGATTTGGATTAATGAAAAGGAACAAAATAGTTTATAAAGAGAAAACATGACTAATTTCAGCAATTAAAATAAATGTTTTAAAGGAAAAACCAGGCATTTAAAGATAAAAGCTTACACACTATAAAAATTTAGAGGCAATCCTAACTTGAATAATAGTCATTTTAAAAAGGTATATGTCATTAAAAATAATAAAAACCTATATTTACTAAAATGGCTATTATGTTTTTGGTATAATAAAAGCAAGTGACGATATGGCATACATGCCATGACTTCACTTCCTTAAAATATGATGTCTAGCAGAATTTGCTCTACCAAATTGAGAGCAGTCATCTATAGCATAACTATAATTCATTTTGGCTTTTTTAGCTTCTGCCTTTTTATGTTTTCTGATTGTTTTACAATAAAAATATAAACTTGTGAAATGAAACAAAAAAATTAATACTGACTTCAAAAACAAAGTTATAGCTGGGTACAGTGGCACACATTTGTAATCCCAGCAGCTCGGGAGGCTGAGGCAGAAGGATTGTGAGTTCAAAGCCAGCCTTGGCAAAAACAAGGCACTAAGCAACTCAGTGAGACCCTTTCTCTAAATAAAATACAGAGTCGGGGATGTGCTCGGTGGTTGAGAGCCCCTGAGTTTAATCCCCAGCACTGACCCCCGCCCCAAATTTATAATTCCACAAGGAATTTCAAATTATGAAAGGTCACACAATTTAAACAGTGTGATACTAATGCAAGAACAAGGCTGGGGCTGTAGCTCAGTGGCAGAGAGCTTGCCTAGCATGTGTGAGTTACTCACTGGGTTTGATCCTCAGCACCATATAAAAATAAACAAAGGCATTCTCTCCATACAAAACTACAAAATTTTTTTTAAAATAACAAATATCAGAAAAGGGAAGAACTCTAAAATACAAGCAAATACATACAAGAATATAATATAGCACCAAACAATGGGGGAAAGAAAGAATTACTGAACAACTTGCATTGATTGCTACAATATGGAGGGGATGTCAATTTAGACTCTAAATTCATATCCTAGAGTGAAATGCATTTGGATTGAAAACTTGCATACAAATAAAACATAGATACAGGGTAACTACCAAATATGAATTTTTGTCTAAAACATTAAGATGACAAGAGTCATAATTTTTATTATTAGTTAGTATGAATTCCTTGATGACGAATGAGATCTGAGCCACTACTAAAGGCCTTCCCACATTCCTTACAATTATAGGGCTTCTCACCACTGTGAATTCTCAAATGGCGAGTAAGATTTGAGCATTTATTGAAAGCCTTTCCACATTCACTACATTCATATGGTTTTTCATCTGTATGGATTCTCTGATGCTGGAAAAGTTGTGAGTTCTGAGTAAAAGCCTTCCCACATTCAAGACATTCAAAGGGCTTCTCACCAGCATGAATTCTCTGATGTTGGCGAAGTTGTGAGCTCTGAGTAAAAGCCTTCCCACATTCCTTGCAATTGTAGGGTTTCTCACCAGTGTGGATTCTCTGATGGTTAGTAAGTGCTGAGCCACTGCTAAAGGCTTTGCTACATTCCTTACACTCATAGGGTTTCTCACCAGTGTGGATTCTCTGATGCTGAACAAGTTTTGAGCTCTGAGTAAAGGCTTTGCCACATTGCTTACATTCATAGGGTTTCTCGCCTGTATGAATCCGCACATGTTGAAACAGCTGAGAGCTCTTAGTAAAGGCTTTCCCACATACTTTACATTTGTAGGGTTTTTCACCAGTGTGAATTCGCTGGTGATCAATAAGATTTGAGCAATAACTAAAGGCTTTCCCACACTCCTTACATTCATAGGGTTTCTTACCAGTATGAATTCTCTGATGTTGAGAAAGGTATGAGCTACAACTGAAAGCCTTTCCACAGTCTTTACATTCAAAGGGTTTTTCACCAGTATGAATTTTCAGATGCCGAGTAACATGTGAGCCACAACTAAAGAATTTCCCACACTCCTTACATTCATAAGATTTTTCACCAATATGAATTCTCTGATGTTGAATAAATTGTGAGTTCTGACTAAAGGTCTTTCCACATTTTTTACATTCATAGGGTTTTTCTTCATTATTCATTATTTGATGTAGAGTAATGAAAGACTGTTGAATAAATGTGGGTACATATTCATTAGAGAATACTTCTTGACTTAAAAGCCCATTTTGTCTGGCAAAATGACTTCTATATTCTAAAACATTTCTAAAGCTGGAGTATTCAAGGCCAGGCTTTGTAAGTCCCATTATCTCCCTCTGGCATGACTCTATTTCATAAACTTCTTTCTTTAGAGATAATAACTTGCTTTCACACATTGATTCCAGGTCTGAAAGAAAAAAAAAAAGGGCTAAATATTCTTTTCCCCTCTTATTTGTGAAAAGTTAAATTTTATGATACAAATGGAAAAAATTAAAGTAAAAACTGTCTTGGGCTGAGGATGTATGTAGCTCAGTAGTAGAGTGCTTGCTCAGCACATGTGAAGCACTGGGTTCAAACCTCAGTACAACATATAAATAAATTAAATAAAGGTATTGTGTCCATCTACAACTAAAAATATTTGATTCCTTTTTTAAAAAATATTTTTTTAGTTGTAAATGAACATAATGCCTTTTTTAAAGTTTTTAATATGGTGCTGAGGATCAAACCCACACATGGCTCACACATGCCTCACACATGGTAGGCAAGCACTCTACCCCTGAGCTACGATCCCAGGTTGACAACTAAAAATATTTTTAAAAATACTATCTAGTGGGTAAATGACATAAAATTCTCAGTTACTGTTTAATCTAAAAAAATAAGCAAGGAATGAACAGAAATTAATAAGATATAATTCAGGAAGCAGAGTGAGGAGAGTATGGAAATAAGTTACCACAATGATTCTCAAATACAGATGTGGGTCAATATCATCTAGAAAGGTTAGTAAAAATACAATGCTTGAGCTATATACTAAAACATGACTAGTCATATATACATGTACACATCTATATAACTGTGTGAGAAAGAGTACATTGTCATACTGTCTAACAAAACATGGATACTTTTTTTGGCCTCCATTGAAGGTCTTCTAAGAGAACAAAATACACATGAGGAAGATTCTTTGGTATTCCATGGCATAATAAAAAGGAAGTTTTGGGGCTGGGGTTGTGGTTCAGTTGCAGAGTACTTGCCTAGCACATGTGAGGCACTGGGTTCAATCCTCAGCACCACATAAAAATAAATAAAATAAAGGAATGAGTCTATCTGCAACTAAAAAAATTAAAAAGCAAAAAAAGAAAATTTAGCCTTTTCCCTATTTTTTGACACAGAGCTTTAAAATTCCTTGGAACTTCATGAATGATAGCACTGTTTTGTTATGCCAATGAGGTGAAACAGGGTAATTCTTAGCTTCTAGGGACTGGTGACCAGAAAGACCAAGCATGTGATTAGAGCTGCGGCTTTTTGACTGCCTGATCTCTATAAAGGGGAGAAGGGGTAAAGACTGAGCTACCAATTGTTTAATCAAGCATGCCTAGTAAAAAAAGAACTCTGGACACGATATTTCAGTGGAAATTCCAGCTCGTGAATGCACTGATGTGCTGGGAGTGTGATACACTTGATTCCATGAGAAGAGGGTATGGAACTTCTATCCAGAAGCCTTCAAGATTTTGCCCTAGTATGTATTCTTTATACTAAAACTGTAATCTTAAATATAGAACTTTATTATTGAGTTCTATAAATCCTTCTATCAAATTATTGAAGCTAAGGTGGCCTTGGAAACCTCTGAATTTATAGCCAGTTGGTCAAATTGCATGCCATCTGAGAAATCCCAACACTTGAGGCTGGCTACTAAAGTAAGAGCAGTATTATGGAGGGCTATGGGTTTGCACTAATATTGTCAAAATTGAATTGTAGCACACTCAGTTGGGGTAGAAACAGAATAAACTCTGTAATATAGAATGTAGTAGATGAAATTTGAAAGCAGTAATGAAGGGTTATCCATATGGAGGATGAGCCAGAGACAGAGTCTAAGGTATTGAACTAATTTAATTAGCAGATAGAGAAACTCAGAATAGTTTGTGTGCTGAGGATTCAATGAAAATACTATTTGCCCTGGGTTTTGTGATGGTGATCTTAGGATAAGAGAGGTCTGAGACTGCGCATGTACCATCCCAGTGACTGAGTTTAAGGGAGACAGAAAGGAATTAAGACACAGTATAGCTGGGCACAGTGACATATACTTTTAATCCCAGCAACCCAGGAGGCTGAGAAGGGAGGATCACAAGTTTGAGGACAGCCTAAGCAATTTAGCAAGGTCCTGTTTCAAATATTTAAAAAGTGCTGGGGATGGTAGCTCCGTTTTAGATAGCCCCTGGGTTCTGTCCCCAGTAGTAAATGAAAAAAAATTTTTTTTAAAGACAGTATAACACTACCATAGAAAGATGTCAGGAACCAGACTAATAAAAGTTTAGTGCTAATTCTAATAGTTAATTACTGAAAATATGGTTTAGATATGAGGTGTCCCCCCAAAATTCAGTGTAAGACAATGCAAGAATATTGAGGTGAAATGATTGGATTATGAGATACATAACCTCATCAGTGAATAATCTACTGATATGGATTAATTGGATGGTAACTGTAGGCAGGTAGGTTGTGGCTGGAGGAAGTAGGTCACTGTAGTTGTAATCTGCTGTTTATTTTGTTCCTGGTGATCAGAGCTCTATCTCCACGCTTGCTGGCTTCCATGTCCTAAGCTATTTTTCTTTGCCATGCTTTTATGCCTCACTTGGGGCCTAGAGCTACAGAGATGGCTGACCATGGACTGAATTTCTGAAACTGTGAGCCAAAATAAACTCCTCCATCTAAATTGTTCTTGCCAGGGTATTTTGGTCATAGTGACACAAAAGCTAACAAAAACACTAAGTGTTCCCAGGCAATTATTAAACCTCTGAAAATCCTCATTTCTTCATCTGTAAAAGGGAAATAATCCTTAATTTATGATTAACTTAGAGAATAAGAGAAAAATGATTATAAATGTCTTGGAGGTAAGTATTCAGTATCTGATAGCTATTATTATAAGAGACTTTTTTACTAAAAATGAGGATATTAGGCAAATTAAATGGCTCAAAAACATCCAAACAAAATGTATCTTAAGTCAGCACTGGGAATTTGGATCTTTAGAAAAGAGATTTTTCCCTCCTATTGGAGCCTTTACAGGGGTTCTTCCCTTTGTCTAGAGTTTTCTTCTTTATGAACATATACAGTAACAAGACATAGCAGTAAGCCTAGTACTACAATAATTCTAAAATATAGATAAGCATAAATAGTTCAACATGTTTACAATAATTATTAAAATGATACAAAAAAATCTGTGATTTCCATTCATTTTGAAGTCACAGGAAAGACTAATAAAAATGTCATAGGAACTACAGTTAGTTGCATACATCACAACAGGAAAAATGCTGTAGAGGTTACTAAATATAGATATTCATGTTTTTTCTTATCCAAGTTCATAGATTTCCAAATTCTATCAAAAGAATCCAAAATTAGGAGTTTCTGAGCAAGAATGATCCTTTATAAATACAATCAAGCTGGGTGCAATGGCACACACCTGTAGTCCCAACTACTCTGGAGGCTGAGATAAGACAACTGAAAGTTCAAGGCTATCCTCAGCAACTCAGCAAGATCCTATCTCAAATAATAAAAAAGGTCTGGGACGTAGCTCAGTAATAAAGTACCTTTGTGTTCAATCTCCAAGACAAAAAAAACCCACCACAATCATGTCACTCTGCTCAAATCATACAATGGATGCACATTTCAGAATAAAATTCAACCCTATCAAGGCCCACAAGACACTAACTCACCTGCAAATACCCCCCATCCTCCACCTCTGCAACCAGCACAGAGGTGCATATATACCTTGCTACTTTCCCATATCCACTTATATAATTCCCTTTTTAATCACTGGCAACAGCCACAGTGGTAGAAGCCCAAAAGCTTCTCACGCAGTCACTTTATTCTTCTTTTCCCTAAATCTCTTCTACCAGATATTTGCTTGTTCCCACACCTCTTTTAGACCTCTATTAAATATTACTTCATCATAGAAGCCTTCTCCAACCTCCCTTCATGGCACTTATCACCATCTGATTATATATGTATAATATATATATAATGTATTAATATATAATGTATAAATATTTATATAAGTATACAGTAAAGGAGCAAAAACTTTTTTTTTGTTCTTTTAGTACCAGGGATTGAACCCACGGGTGCTTTATCCACTGACCCACATTCCCTGCCCCTTTTATATTTTATTTTGAGACAGGGTCTTACTAAGTTGCTGAGGCTGGCTTTGAACTCATAATCCTCCTGCCTCAGCCTCCCTAGTCACTGGGATTACAGGTGTGTGCCACTGCGCCTGCCAAAAGAGCAAAAACTTCTAAGACTCTAACTATTTCAGTATGGATTAAATCTATGGCTACATATTTAGTCCTTGACCAAAGTACCCTAACTTCTCTTACTAGATAAGAAGATATATAAGCATATATTTTATAATATATAATTATAAATTATAAAATAATGGTAATTATAAATTACAAATAATACTACAATATGCCTACTTATAATGTTCAATTATATAACTGTAATTATAAATTACATAATATTTTATATAATTATATATTTATAAATAATACATATTTTTTAATAAATGACATATGTTTATACTCTGCTACAATTTGAATGTGTCTGCTCCAAAATTCAGGTGCTGCCAATGTCATAATATTAAGAGGTAGAGCTCTTCCCTCACAAATGGATAAAGTACCCTGATAAAGGCACTTGAAGAAGGGAATTGGTTCATATTGCCCTTTTCCTATGTGAGGACATACAAGGTAAGCCCTCACTAGAGATGTTAGTACTTTGATCTTGGGTTCCCAGCCTCCAGAACTGTGAGAAAATAAATTTCTATTCTTTATAAATCATCCTATCTGAGGTATTCTGTTACAGCAACACAAAATGGCCTAAGCCATTTTCTTCCCTACTAGAAAATAGATTGTAGAATATATATTCCCAAACTATAGAGATTTGAGTGTTTTTATCAATACTAAATTGTAATAACTGGACCAATGTTTGGTATATAGTAGTGCCCTTCCAGTTCTCCTACTTCATCCTAAATTTCCCTTTCTCTGCCACTCTCTCTTTCTAGTATAGGCACAGATTTGGTTTTGGCCCTGATAATGTCTTGATACATAATGCCTACAATCACTTCCAAGGCTCCAACTACTATTTTTTTAATGTATATTTTTTTTAGTTATACATGGACACAATATCTTTATTTTATTTATTTTTTTGTGGTGCTGAGGATCGAACCCAGAGTCTCACACGTGCAAGGCAAGCACTCTACCGCTGAGCCACAACCCCAGCCCCTCCAACTAAGTAAGAATTAAATCCCCTCCCATGTATTTAGTCCATGACTTTCTGCTAAGCTCCCTAATTTTTTGGTTTCTCTTTTAATATTTTATTCTTTTTGGAAGTTATTTATGGATACATTTTAGCATCACTTTTTTGTGTAAGTGTTGGTACTGGAGATTGAATCCAGGGTTGCTGTAACACCAGGTTACACCCCTAGTCCTTTTTATTTATTTTGAGACAGAATCTTGTTAAGTTGTCAAGGTTAGCTTTGAACTCGTGAGTCAGCTTGAGTCTCTGGGATTGCAGGCCTGGGCCACCTGACCCTGCTAGATTGCATTTTTTTTTCCTCTTTCCATATTTAAAAATTGGTATAGATTTTGCATTATTTTTTGGTACTGGGGATTGAACCTAGGGGTGCTTAACCACTGAACCACATACCCAGCCCACTTTTATATTTTTATTTAGAGACGAGTCTTGCTGAGTTGCTTAGGGTCTCACTAAGTTGCTGAGGCTGGCTTTGAACTTTCGATCTTCCTGCCTCAGCTCCCAGAGCTGCTGGGATAACAGGCAGCTAACTTTGCATTCTTAGAATGGACATAATTAGTAAACTGCAGCACTGGAAGAGTTCCCTTACACAAATTAAGAAATAAAAGATGATAAGAGGAGGAAAAATCCAAGACAAACTGGTAAAAGAAGGCACTGACAGGCAGCTAGAGTGAAGACTAGTACTTGGGTGCTTGAAATTAAGGAGTGTTTGAGAAGAATGTTGAAAAAGTAGGAAGTAAGGGAAGGACTGAAACATGCCACTTGTAAACTCATGTTGAAATAACTTAGTTTCCTCCATAAGCCTAGCTTCTGGAAGGGAGCTTCCAGGGTGACATCTTGAAGGTGCTCTTTCCTCACTGACCAGCTGAGTTAGTACCTGTAATCGCTGGGGTTTAGTCATTTCTCACTTACCTGAACACAGGCCTCTTGTAAGCTCTCTGCCCACCATCCAGGGCTCTTTTCCTTGTTCCAGTAAAGAGATCACTTGAGGCTTAGGAATGTAAAATCCTGCTCATGAGAAAAGATATGGCACACGGTTATGCTGTGGGGAAATGAGATCCAGTCCCTTGCTGATCAAGGAACAGGTGCCACTACAGGAACAGCCAAAGAAGACAGAGACGAAGCTTCAGCCATAGCCCTTGGAGCTGCCCATTTCCCACGCTTCCTTTTCATTCCAGCTGAAACCATTTATTTGAGAATAAGAAGCAGAAATTCAGCTGATTACTTGAAAAGCTGCTGAGAAATTCACTGTAGTAGAAGCAGACATTCCAGAGGAGAACTCTGAATTATTGGTAGAGATGCCCTTACCCATCGAAACCAGATTGCTATAGTTTTCCAACATCACATCTCTGTACAAGTCCCTCTGAGCAGGGTCCAGGCACTCCCACTCCTCCTGAGAGAAGTCTATTGACACATCATTGAACACCACTGATCCCTGAAACAATAAACATATGTACTAGCTTTGTGATTAAAAAAAAAAAATACTTCAGCCAGGCACAGTAGCACTTACTTGTAATTGTAGTGATTTGGAAGGCTAAGGCAGGAGGATCTCACGTTTGAGGCTAGGTTTGGATCCTCAGCACCACATAAAAATAAATAAATAAAATAAAGGTATAAAAAAATAAATAAAAAGGGCTGGTCAAGCATGGTGGCACATGTCAATAAACCCAATGCCTCAGGAGGCTGAGGCAGGAAGAACACAGGTTCAAAGCCAGCCTCAGCAATTTAGCGAGACCGTAAGCAACCTACTGAGATCCTGTCTCAAAATAAAAAAACAAGGTGGGGGTGCTGGGTGTGTAGCTCAGTGGCAGACTGCCTGTAACCTCAACCCCAAGTACTGCCAAAAAAAAAAAAAAAGAAAGAAAAGAAAAAGAACAACTTCAGAGACTATTGTGCTTATATTGTGTGCTAAAGCAAATGAGTAATTATGTTGTTGTTGCTGAGAAATAGTATCTGAATTTTTTGGTGGGAGGTGGGGCTCTGTGGTGCTGGGGACTAAAGCCAGGTCCTTGCACATGCTGGATAAGAGCTCTCCCAGTCCTTTTATCCGTTTTTAAAATTTTGAGACAGGGTCTCACTAAGTTGTCCAGGCTAGCCTAAAACTTGAAATCTTCCTGCCTCCCCTCCAAGTAGCTGGGATTATAGGCACTTGCCACCATGCCTGGCTTGAGAATCAGTATCTTTGGATCTCAAAAATAGGGCTGGGGATGTGGCTCAAGCAGTAGCACGTTCACCTGGCATGTGTGGGGCACTGGGTTTGATCCTCAGCACCACATACAAATAAAGTAAAGATGTTGTGTCCACCGAAAACCAAAAAAATAAATATTAAAAAAAATTCTCTCTCTCTCTCTCTCTTTAAAAAAATAGATGCAAGTCTAGCAGGATTATTATTATGCTGCTGCATTATTTCAGCCACTTATGTATATCTTTCTGTGCTAAGGCAATCTTAATTTATTGTTTTGGTATGTTAGTTGACCCAAAGAGCGGTTGGCAATTACATAGAAAGAATTGGAGAATACTAATTTTTTTTCTAATACTGTAACTGTGTTTAACACAGATATTTTACATTGTTTCTATAAGTAAAAACATCACTCTCATTTAATATCTTTTTAAAAATTTTTTGTTGTAGATGGATAGAATGCCTTTATTTTATTTGTATATGGTGCTAAGAATCAAACCCAGTGCCTCGCACATGCCAGGCAAGTGCTCTGCCACTGAGCTACAGCTACAGCTCTCTCATTTAATATCTTGCTGTTTTAAGTTAACCAGGGCAGATCTTCTCCTTTGATTGGTTTGGTTTCTCTGCGATGAGTCATGTAATGCTATACTGGATTGTCTAGAAAAAGCAGTCTCTTTATAACACAACTTCTATTAGTTAGGATGCTTAGGGAAGAGTTTTCTGGTTAGTCAGAAAATCCCCCCCCCCCTTTTTTTTTTCCTATTTCAACACTGGTTGAAAAAACAAAATATTATATTTTTTTTGTCTTAACACAGTTTCCTAGGTGAAATTGAACTGTTTCTTGATTTGAGATCACTTAGCGCTTTGGGATCATGATTTCTAAATATTAGGGATGATCATAGGATTGCAGGTATTGCTAGTTAATTGAGCTGGATGTAGCTCCTAAGATGAAGCAGGGTGTGTTCCCTGGAATTTTCCTTTTCAAATAAATCTCTCAATTTAAAAAAAAAATAGATGTGAAAATAATAAGTTTACTTTACATTAAACAAATGAACAAACAAATCCTGTCTCTGTCCATTGTGATGGCCTAGAAACAATCACTGACCCAGGAGCACAGAACACTCCAAGTTCTGGATTATAGTTTTCTAAGTATCACTGTCAGGGAAAGAGCTAATTTTCAGGATTAAATAAAAAATGCTCAGGATGAGTGCGAAAATCTTGTTAGAACACGAAGCAAGATATCTACCATAAACTGTTAGGATCATGCTGAAAACACTCAGGAGTCATTTTGAAGACTTTCCCTTGGCCCAAAATGGTACAACTTATGTATCAAATTATAAGGATAATTACTGAAATGGACTAATCATGTTAAAAACGTCAAATCCATGAGGTTATAATAATACTAAAAAAACTACTGGTAACTTTTGGAGAATTTTAAGGAGCCAATGCATTATTTTGAAAACTGGTGAATAAATGCAAAAATTTAAATACTCTTGGCCACATGAACTGTTCTTCGGGTTACCAAACAGTTGATGAGGAAAAACTTTGCTTTACAGAAGAAGGAATGCCAACATTAAAATACCAGTATGCAACCCCTAATGAGTATAACAATAATTGTCAATAGTTGCTACATTATAAAAAGAAACAGAATCATTTATAATGTGACTCCTAATAGAATTACCCTTGATCTGTGAAATGTTCTGATCAAGTTTTTTTTTACACTTAACTACCAATTTTCAGAAAACATTTAAATGGGACCACAGTGATTCGATCAGTAAAATTCAGACAGTGGACAATGAAGTCTATTTACTTACATTCCAATAAAAAGACTGCACAGAAAGAAGAGATGGACGGGGTATCTATAAAATTAGAGACTCAAGAGACATACCAATCAACTGCAATGAACACTCCTTATCTGGATTCTAATTCAAATAAATGCTTTAAAAATAAGAGAATTATGAAAATATGAACACAACCAGGTACCAATGGCCAAAATGGTAATAATAAATAATAAACAATCCTTGTCTTTCAGAGGTAGGTATCAATTTCTCTTTGCTTCAAAACAATCTGCATGGAGGAATAAAGGTAAGGGAGGAAACACGAAGTGGAATAAATGAATAAGATGAACTGTGAGCAGATAGCTGTTGAAGCTGGTGGTTATGTGGTAGTTCTTAAGACTACTCTACTTTGTATATCTGAAAAATTTCTGTAATAAAGTTTAGTTTTTAAAGGCAGATGACAGAGAATAGTTACAACAGAATATCTGCAAGATCCTAATCACATATATAAAATTGATTTAAACAAATTTGTGAAAGAACTCTCTTGTGAGGAAAGGAAACAGAGAGTACTGATATAGCAAATCTAAATCTGCACATACATTGCAAAGAAATAACTAGAAAATGTCTAAACTTGATTGATCAAGAAATAGTAATATATGAACATTAATTTAAAATATGGGATAAATTCCATTGCATCAGCTAAAAGAAATGAGGGAGTCTGCCTTTAGACAGCAAGACAAAGTGGAGAAGAGGGCCCTACTCTTTAAACATTTCTTAATTTTTTTTTTGTTTTTTTAAACCTCATTAGCTTTTTTTTTTTTTTTTTTTTTGTAGTTGTAGATGAACAGCATGTCTTTATTTTATTTGTTTATTTTCATTTGGTGCTAAGGATCAAACCCAGTGCCTCATACATGCAAGCAAGTACTCTGCCACTGAGATACAGTCCCAGCCCCACTTTTTAAATTTTTAATATGTAAAACTTGACAAATACAGCAGGATGTGGTGGCATATGCCTGTAATCCCAGTAGCTCTGGAGGATGAGGCAGGAGGACTGCAAGTTCAAGGTCAGCCTCAGCAACTTAGTGAGACCTTGTCTAAAAGTAAAAAACTAAAAAGGGCTGGGATGTAGCTCAATGGATAAGCATCCCTGGGTTAAATCCCCAGTACCAAAAAAGAAAAATTGATAAATACATAAATTATACTTCATTCCTGTGATTCATTGCCATAAAAATTATTTCCTATTAATATAAATTCTTCATTTTTCTTGTGGCAGAATTTTTTGCAACATATACTACTGGACAAGAATTATAAGGTCCTTCTGAGCTTTGATAGAATGATCTCAACAACTTAGGCATTTGCCAAACTCATTATAGTCACCTATCATTTCTATCCTTATTTCTGAGATAAAAGAAAACTGATGATTCATAGAGAAATTCATCATGTCACAAACTTCCTATTACCTTCAAATTGGACTTGTCTAATGGATACTGGTACAGTATGGGTCTTAAATATCTCCCAAAGGCCTGTGTATTAAAGGCTTTCTCAGCTGGGAACTACTGGGAAACATGAAAAAGGGGTCCATGAAGAAGTCTTCTAGACATTGGAGAGTATGTTCTTGAAGGGAATATTGGAACTCCAGTCTTTTCCTCCTGTTTTTCTTCCCTGCAATGAGGTGAACAGTTTTACTCTACCACATGATCCCTGACACAACAGGCTGCCACACCACAGGCTCCAAAGCAATAGTGTCATTTGATCATGGAATAAAACCTCTGAAACTGAGACAAAATAAACTTTTTTGCTTTACAAGTTGATTATCTCAGGTAGTTTGCTATAGTAACAGAAAACTATTACAAAATGCCCTAACAAAGTCTCAGAGATCCATATCAGCCACTGACTCCATGATTTCTAACATCTCATAAACTAGGAAGTCTTTCAAAAATCTAACATTTGGAGCTATCAACACCACCTTTCATCTTATCCTATTGGAAAATGACAGTATATAGACATAATCTTGGCTTTTCCATGCTTGTTCCTAGCTAAGCTACTCATAGCTCTATTTTATCAAATCACAGTCCAGAAAGGAAAAATTCATTTTAGAAATCTACTCCTTTTTGTTTCTTTCCTTTATAGTGCTAGAAATTGAACCTTGTGTATGCAAGGCAAGCCCTCCACCAACTGAGCTACGTCCCAGCCCCACAATTCTACTCTTATTTCTCTAAATAGATATATTTTTTCTCCATCACAGTCCCTGGGAGAAGGCTGAGAAAAAAGATGCTCAGTTATTTACTAAAAGAAATAGTAATGCTGATTGAAAAAAAAAAAAAGACACTAAGAATGGTATAGGATTATCTAGCTAGTATGAGAGGGAATGGGGACAGGAAGAGGAACAGTTATCCAAAAATGTCAGGATAAAGAAAGGAAATGCACACATCATTTTTTTTCTTTGGCAGAGGGGTCTTGCCAAATTGCCCACACTGGCCTCAAACTTGCAATACTCCTACCTCCGCCTCCCAAGGAGCTGGGATTCTGGTATGTGCCACTGTGCCCAGCTCACGTTTTCTTTCTTTCTTTCTTTTCCTTTTTTTAAAGTAAGTAAATGTCAGCAAAGAAAGAAAATGCATTGACTCACCTCAGCCATGGCTTTTAGTATTGCAGGAAATGATCAGTCCTCAAGGCTGTTCTCCTGAGAAAAGACACTGTTCTGAGAAGGCAAGACTAGGGAAACAAAGAAATACTCTAGATACTGCAATGACCTTATAGTTCTCAGGATGGTCAGATAAAACCACTTCTACTTCCCTTGATCTACAACTCTACTCTGGGAGTATGGAACAAATACTACTTCTTTCTCAATTCTAGAAACCCCAGGTTTTAGCTGCACCAAAATAAATAAATGCCAGGAAACTTTTGACTTGCTTTTCCATATAGTTTTAAAAAACTATAGAGGTATTTTTCTTGAGACAGCATAAAAAGAAAAGCTTATGAGTTGGGAGTATAGTTCAGTGGTAGAGTGCCTACTTAGCATGTGTGAGGTCCTGTGTTTAATCCCCAGCACAAAATAGGGAGGGGAGAGAGAATGAAAAGATTAACTTCAGGAGTTCTCACATCTTTATGATTTTGAGTCTTGTTTTCCTTGAACACAAAATAACTGTCTATTTATTAAAGTCAATGTCTGTGTTCTTCAGGAACACGAAAAAAATTTTTCATATGGATCATGCTCATTTCTTATTCACATTATTACTAGATTTTTTTTTTCTTTGTACTGAGGATCAAACCCAGGGTTGATTAACCACTGAGCCACATTCTCAGACCTTTTGATTTTTTTTTTTTTTTTTTTAAATTTTCAGAAAGGGTCTTGTTGAATTTAGGGCCTGGCTAAATTGCTATTGGAAATAAAGCAATTGTTTTCTAGTTTCCCATGTGGTACTATTTTTGTAATAGCTTTATGAAAAATATCTTAAATAAAATGTTGATAGTGCTTCTCCCTGATTTTAATAAGAATGATTTTATTATTTCACCTATTAGATATTAGAGCTTATTTGTTTTTATGGTTGGAGTTTGAACCCAGGGGCACCCTACTGCTGAGCTACTAACCCAATAGTTAATGCTTTATACCAGCTGGGTTCATCTTGACAAATCTGTTCATTCATGGAATTCTTTTTCAGTTTGGGTCATCCTCCCTCCTCCTCTCCTTCTCTTTCCCATCATTCTCCTTTCTCTACTAATCTACCTTGGCTCATCTTCCTTCCTCCCTCCCTCCTTCCTTCCATCCTACCAGGGATTAAATCCAGAACTGCTTAACCACTGAGCCATATCCCCAGCCCTTTTTATCTTTTATTTTGAGACAGGTTTCAGTAAGTTCTTAGTTCCTCGATATATTGCAGAGGCTGGCTTGGAACCTGTGTTCCTCCTGTCTGAGCCTCCTGAGTTGCTGGGATTATAGGCATGCACCAGAGCTCCTGTTTATTTCTTTATTTTTATTGGTTCTTTCTACTTATATATAAAGGTAAAATTCCCTGTGGTATATTTATATATGTGCATAACATGATTTTTAAAAATTCATTCCACATTTCTTCCCCTTTCGTATCCTTCCTCTCTCCCTCTTGAACCCCTTCTTCTATTCTATAGATCTTCCCTGTATCTTCTTATTTTGAGATAGGGTCTCATTAAGTTTTCTTAGGGTCTCACTAAATTGTTGAGGCTGGCCTCAAACTTGCAATCCTTCTGCCTCAGCCTCCCAAGTTGCTGGGATTACGGGGTGCACCACCATACCTGGCTTTAATACCTTTTTAACACACAAATTTCCAAACATACACAGAATGTTTGGAAACATTTTTTGAACTTTAAAAAGTACAAAGAACCCTCATGAGTCTACTAAACAGATTCAACAATTATTGTTATAGCCAATATTATTTTACCTAGACTCCTACCCACTAATTTTAGGTTACCTTTATTTTAAGAGCTTTCAGATATACCATATGTAAAGATCACTTTAAGTCACCTACCTGAAGTGTACAAGTCAGTGTTTTTAGTATACTCATCACAATGTAGTTTTAGTACATTTTCATCTCTCCTAAAACAAAATAAACAAAACACTCATTAATAGCCAGTCTCCATTTATCCATTTTCCCTATCCCTAAGTAACCACTAATCTGCTTTCTGCCTCTACAAACTTGCCTACATGTTTTCAGTTCATATAAATGGTATTATATATAAACTTTATGACTGGATTATTTCATTTAGCATACTTTCAAGGTGCATCAATGTTGTAGCCTGTATCAGAGCTCCCTTCCTTTTTACGGCCAAATAATATTCCACTATGAATATGTCACATTTTGTTTATCCATTTTTCAGTTGATGGGCATTTGGGAAATTTCCACTTTTTGGCTATTTTGAAAAATGCTGCTATGAACATTCAGGTACAAGTTTTTATGTGAATATGTTTTCAATTCTCTTGGACATATAACTAGGAGTAGAACTGCATGGTAATTATGTAACTTTTTAATAACTGTCAAACTGTTTTCTAAAGTGCAATTTCTCCAAATGCTCATTGACATTATTGCCTCTTTTTTTTTTTTGTCATCCTGGTAGCTGTACAGTGGTTATCTCACTTTGGTTTTGATTTGTATTTTCCTAATGAGTAATGAAGTTGAGTCAGGATAGCATTTTTTTATAACTGTATATTTTTTTAGTTGTCGATGGACCTTTATTTATTTATATGTGGTGCTGAGAATTGAACCCAGAGCTTCACACATGTTAGGCAAGGGCTCTACCACTGAGCTACAACCCCAGCCCATGGATACCTTTTTAAAAAGAACCTAACTCTTGGGGCTGGGGTTATGGCTCAGTGATAGAGTGCTCACCTAGCACATGCAAGGCACTGGGTTTGATCCTCAGCACCACATAAAAAAATAAAAAGATAAATAAAATAAAGGTATTGTGTCCCACCTACAACTAAAATTATTTTTAAGAATGATATATACTATACATACATGGGGAATTTATAAGAAGGAAATAGATCAAAATATTGACAGTGGTTATTTTTAGGGGGCAGGCATTATCTTTTGCCCTTTGTAACTTCCTATTTTCCAAATTTTTAAAAATAATCATGCTTCAGGTGTGTATATGTGCTTAAAAACAACTTAGTACACAGGAAAAAACCTTACCTATTTTCTAAATTAATATGTGAACATTATGTAGAAGAAAGTCAGGGAGAAAAATGGAATCTGTACATCCACCCCATGGTTTCCCATCATTTTCTCAGATGGAAAAAATTTGAGAACCAGGACACTTAATGAGTCTATGTTAAGTCAGACCATCCAAAAGAAGAAAAGCAAAACTCAAACCCCAGTGCACCTTATATTTGGCTTGATCAACAACTATTTCTCTTTCTTCCTCTGGGTACCTCTGGAAAGGCAGAGATGAGTAAGAAAAAAAAGAACTATGAGATGCCAGGCATTTTTTTTGTGTGTGATTTAGACTGACCTGATTAGAGCTCACTCTGAACCCACAACTACCACCATGGAAAGAAGAAAAAAGAGGGAGGTCAGAGGAATCTTGGCTATCCTGAGCATTCTGGTTTGAGAAGAGAAGTGAAGTCTAAGTTGTCCAAGATCAGAATTTGTCCTGAACTCACAAGGATCTTTTAGGATAGAGAGTTGGAATCACAAGGCAGTCACAGGCACTCCACACCTACATTTCCAATGCTGCAGTCACTTATCCACTATAGGTGAACCCCATTTGCCCTCTCAGGAACACATCACCCAAATAATACCAGTACATGTGCTCACACACAGTCCACCCTAAGGATACACAATCACACCCACACATTAACAGACCCCTCCAACACAACACCACACAAAATCATACAGTGCTACAGAGTCACTCACTATCACATTCACTAGAGCCACACAGTCACAGTTCTCCTACTGGGCACTACACACAATCATACATTCAAAATAACACAATGGCCATGTATCTATTACCCTGGAACAAGCATCACAGGGCCACACACAGTTACATAATCACTTTCACACATTCTCACATAGTTACAGGCATCCAGTACACGGAGTGGTTCTAACATTCATACAATGACGCACACAAACCTCTCAGAGTAACAGTCACAGATGCATAAGCAGATTCTCCACGCCCATCCCCACATCCACATGTCACACAAGTGAATAAGGTCACACACAATCGGTCCAATCTCGGGGACACGATCATACACGGACAGCCGCACACTGTTAACAAAACTACAGGAATGTGCAGTCACACAGGCACACACAGCTCTGCGCACGGTCAGTCACAACGACACACCCACCAGAGAAACATAAAATCACATCCGCACACACACTGCGCCCCACAGTCACATAAGGTCACAACCACACCCAGAGGCCCACACCTCGCGACCGCTCCCCTGGCCAGAGCCAGTCCCAAGTTCCTGTCACCCCAGACCTACCTGGTATGTCCCTTCAGACGCCCAGGGACGTTCCTGCGCAGCCTGGTGAGGCCCCGGGTGCCTAGGCCGCTAGCTGCGTACTTTCCCTGCCCTGGAGGCCAAGGGTCCCGCAGGCAAATGAAGCGGCCGCCCCGTCCTCGCGGGGGTCTCTGGGAAATGTAGTCCGCCAGCTCCCCTCGTGGGGAAGATGACGCCCATCCTCTAACTCCTCCCCTCGCACCGCCGGGGCCTGGCCCTGCGTCTCCGCGGAGGTTAGGCAGTCTTCAAGGTAAAAGCCCACACAAAGCCGGACAGCCATCCTGTCCACAAGATTCCTCAAATGCACAGGCCAACCTCAGGTTGTTCCCTGGAAACTGTTCAGCTGGAAATGAGTGGAGCCGCAAGAACTTCTGGGAAATGTAGTCAAGCGCCAGAAAACATAAGGCACAGGGCCAAGAGGAGAAAAAGTTGCTTTTACAGGCTTTCTCAGCTGAGCTGCTGACGGTGAAGACTGACATTACCTGGGTTCTGAACCTTTCTAGGAGTTGTAACCAACTCTGAAGTCTCGGGCTGGCTCACAGAATCTCCAATTTTGCATTCCTAGGGTGATAAGCTGAGCCATAGTATAGGATATACGATTCCGTTTGTATGGAATTATCCAGACTAGGCAAATAAATACAAACACGGAGTATATTAGGTATTTAGGACTGCAAAGCTAGGGGACATTGTGATTGATGATAGATATAGGGCTTCTTTGGGGGAGGGATTAAAATATTCTTGAAATGGATAATAATGATGTTTGCTCAACTCCGTAAAATACCAAAAGAAATCAAATTGTACACCTTCAAAGAGCTTATTTTATGCTTTGCGAATTATTTCTGTGTGTGCATGTGTTTGAGACAGGGGTCAGCTCTCTTTAAAGAAAGCCCCATTCTTGTCTGCAATGCTAATCCAATAATAAGGACAAGGTTTTGAGAAAAAAGAAAAAGGTTTATTGCTTTGCTAGCAAAGGAGAAACACAGGGGACTCCTGTCCGCGAGGCTGTGATTCTGACAGGGCTTTTAGAGAAATGATTGAAAGGCTACTTTCTAGCTGTGCCCTGTCAGAGACATAGTTCATTTTGCATGTTTGTTTTCCCCAAGCTTAGGGTGGGAGAGAGAAAAAAAAAAAGAGGGGAAAAATGTCAGTTTTAAAGTAAGTATCAAGGGCTGGTGTTTTGGCTCAGCGGTAGAGCACTCGCCTAGCATGTGCGAGACCCTGGGTTCGATCCTCAGCACCACATAAAAATAAGTAAGTAAAATAAAGGTACTGTGTCCAACTACAACTAAAAAATAAAAATAAAACAAAGTAAGCAATAGTAGTAGAGCAGCAAAGTTTATGTTCAAGGCTTGAAACAGACCCTGTTACACTGTGTTGCCCTGGCCAATCTTGAACTCCTGGGCTCAAGTGATTCTCCCCCCTCACTGCCGGTATGTGCCACCATGCCAGCAAGTGTTTTTGCTACCTGCAGCCCAGCCTGGGAACTGCTTGCATCCAGGCTTGCTTGTCGTGTTCAGCCAACCACCTTTATAAGAAATAGACAATGGAAAATGGAAAAAATAATTTTATACAGTTTGATTAAACTGGGGAGAAGCAGCTGGATTGTTTCTCTGCTGGTCCTATAGAAGCTGCTCCAATTTATAAGAAAAACATCAGTTGATATGCATATGTAGATTTAGTTAAGCTGAGAACTTGTTGGTGTTAGTTTCTTTTTTTTTTTTTTCAAAGAAAGAGTGGGAGAGAGAGAGAGAGAGAGTTTTTTAATATCTATTTTTTAATTCTCGGCGGACACAACATCTTTGTTTGTATGTGGTGCTGAGGATTGAACCCAGGCCGCATGCATGCCAGGCGAGCGCGCTACAGCTTGAGCCACATCCCCAGCCCCTGGTGTTAGTTTCTTCCTATCTTTCCTCAGTATGAGGATGTTCAGAAGCTAAAAGTTTGGAGCTTTTTATTTCAAAAGTGGGTGGGTCTGTTTCATTTTTAAAAAATCAACTTTACTGCTGGGTATGGTGACACATACGTGTAATTCCAGTTTCTCAGAATCTCAAGTTGGAGGCCTCAGCCTCAGGGTATTAGTGAGACCCTCAACAACTTAGCAAGAGCATGTCCCAAAACAAAAAATTTAAAAGGAAATAAAAAATAAAAAGGGCTGGGAGTGTCACTCACGGGTAGAATGCCCTTGGGTTCAATCTCCAGTACCACAAAAACAAACAACACTTTGTTGAGCTTCACTTAAATACAATAAAATGCACATATTTTTAAGTGAATTGTTTGATAAGGTTTAACAAATGTTAAACCATCATAATCAAGCTATAGACCATTTTTATCCAATTTGCTCCCAATGTTCCTATGACTTTCTTCAATCATGCCCTATCCCTACTCCCCAGGTGAAGCATCCACTAATTTAAAATTTTTTTAAATATTTTTTAAGAGAGAGAGAATTTTTAATATTTATTTTTTAGTTTTCGGCGGACACAACATCTTCATTTGTATGTGGTGCTGAGGATCGAACCGGGGCCGCACGCATGCCAAGCGAGTGCGCTACCGCTTGAGCCACATCCGCAGCCCCATCATCCACTAATTTATATTCTGTCACTATAGAGTAGTCCTGTGTATGAGTCTTGCTTATCAAGAGTTCCATATAAATGAAACTGAGATGAAGACAGTCCTTAGTCTTATGGGGTTAACAGAGATACCATAAATGGGGGCTTAAAAAGTACACCAATCTTGCCAGGCACAGTTGGGATGGCTATCCCAGCAGCTCAGGAGGCTGAGACAGGAGTATCAGAAGTTTAAAGCCAGCCTCAGCAACTTAGCAAGGCCCTAAGCAACTTAATGAGACCCTGTTTCAAAATAAAAAATTAAAAGGGTACCCCGGGTTCAAGCCCCAGTACCAAAATAAATAATAAAATAAAATAAAAATCTGTTCAGCTTTGTCCTTTGTTTGAGCCAGCCTGGAGTTTCTGTCCCTTATGTGCTGCCTCTCTTTGTACTCAAGTTTGAGAATAAAAAGCCTTGTTCTGTGCCAGTCCGCCTTTGATTCTTCTAACAGCACAAGAGCCCACAGAGTCACCAATAGAATCACACAGTAGGTGTACTTTTTTGATCTGGCATCTGTCTCTCAGCATGATGTTTTTGAAAAGATTCATCTATGCTCTTTTCTATAACAGTATTTATTTTTGTTGCTGAATAATATTTTATTTTATGAATGTATGTGTTTGTACATCAATTCATGTGTTTATGCATATTTAAGTTGTTTCCAGATTGGTTGATGTGAATAAAATTGATATAAGTGTTTGTGTTCAAGTCTTTTTGTGAACAATTATGCCTTCACTTATGTTAGGAAATATGTAGTAGAGTAATTGGTGGGTCATATAAGTGCATATTTAATTTTGCAAGAAACTGCTAGTCTGCTTTGCTAAATGGTTATACCATTTATATTCTCACCAGCACTGTATGAAACATCTAGCTATTTCATTTCCTTTCAATATGTCTTTCTTTTATTTTTCTGGTACCAAGGATTGAACCCAGTGGCACTCTACCACTGAGCACATCCTCAGCCCTTTTTAATATTTTATTTAGAGACTGAGCTTGATGAGTTGCTTAGGCCTTTGCTAAGTTGCTGAGGCTGGCTCTGAACTCTCAATCCTCTTGTCTTAGCCTCCCAAGCAGCTGGGATTATAGGCATGGACCATCCCCTTCAACACTTTCTACTGTCAATCTTTAGAGTTTTCATTATCTAGAGGATGAAAAGTGGTATCAAATTGTGATTTTGATCTGCATTTCCTGATGACTATTAATTTCAGCATATTCTCATGCCCTTATTTATCATTCTTAAAGACGTGTCAATTTTATTTTCAGTTTTAAAATTGGTTGCTTGTCTTACTATTGGGTAGCGGTTTTTATTTATTTATTTATTTATTTATTTATTATTATTGGTTATTCAAAACTTATTTATTTTGAATAAATACATAATATGCATAAAAAACAAACAACAATAAGTGTTGGCAAGGATGTGGGGGAAAAGGCACACTCATACATTGCTGGTGGGACAGTAAATTGTTGCAACCAATATGGAAAATAGTATGGAGATTACTTGGCAAACTTGGAATGGAACCACCATCTAACCCAGATATCCCACTCCTCGGTTTATACCCAGAGGACTTAAAAACAGCATACTACAGTGATGCAGCAATATCAGTGTTTACAGCAACACAATTTACAATAGCTAAATTGTGGAACTAACCTAGATGCCCTTCAGTAGATGAATGAATAAAGAAAATGTGGTATATATATACACAATTCAATACTACTCTGCATTAAAAGAGAATAAAATCATGGCATTTGCAGGTAAATGGATGGAGTTGGAGAATATTATGCTAAGTCAAGTAAGCCAATCCCCCCAAAAAAATGACAAATGTTTCCTCTGATATATGGATGCTGATCCATAATAGGGATGGGGGAAGCATGAAAGGAATGGAGAACTTTATGGCAAAAGGGAGGGAGAAAAGGAAGGGGTGTGGGGGTAAGAAAGATGGTGGAATGAGATGAACATCATTACCCTAAATTCATGTAGGAAGACGCAAATGGTGTGACTCTACTCTGCGTACAACCAGAGACATGAAAAATTGTGCTCTATATGTTTAATAGGAAGTGAAATGCATTCTGCTGTCATGTATAACAAATTAGAATGAATTTAAAAATTAAAAAAAATATATACATGTTGAAAATAATTTCTCCCTGCCTGGAGCACATTTATGTATTTATTTTTGGCTGTACTGGGGATTAAACCCAGGGCTTGCACATGCTAGGCTTTATCACAGAGTCACATTCCCAGCCCTTCTTAATATTTCATTTTGAGACAGGACCTTCCTAAGGTAGGGAAGCTGGCTTCCAACTTGTGATTCTTCTGAAACAAGGGGATGCACAAATGCACCTGGCTCCTCTCAGTTTTTGTAAAAAGTATTTTTATTAGTTGTTGATGGATCTTTATTTATTTATTTATGTGTAGAGCTGAGAATTGAACCCAGTGCCCCACATGTCCACCATGCGGCCTGCGCAATGGTTTCATTAATGAGGTTCTTGGCATAAAGTTAGTTAGAAGAGATCGAAATAAAACACACAGACTCAGTTACCTTATTTCTATTGCCAGGTCCGAGACGGCTCCTCTCTCTGGTTCCAACCTCTAACCGCCCAGCAGGGCAGCAAGGATTACTCAGGGCTAG